CTATCAAGAGACCTAATCTAAACAAATTACAAAAAATACACAAACATAACTATTACACCCAAAGTGTGTAATTTCCAAAGTATCAAACAACAAAACTAACTAAAAACACAAGCATACACATGGAAATTACATGGGTATCAAATTCCAATCAACTATTCTGAATGTGGCAAACAATTCAAGCTTTTGATAACATGGAAAGCAGATAACTGTGGGAGAAGGCTTTTGGAAATGCATTGGAAGTCATGTTATTTTTGTTTATGTTGATTGTAGTATTATTTAAACTTTTTACGGAGTCATTCTTGATTGGGTTAAATGTTGTTATTGCAAAGATATGAAGAGTGTGGTTTGAAGGGGTGGTTTGATCCGTCAATGTGCAAGAAGTCTAAAAAAGTCATTACAAGCTTGTTAAAAATGAATGGTTGTGACAAGAATATCCATACATTGGAGATGAAGGTTGAAACATTAGAGATACATGGTTTAAAAACAGAGAAGATGAAGAACAATTATAGTAAATGCAGAACGTTGGTGTGCATTATTTCAATTGTTATTTTGATATCCTTGTATAATCAAAGGAAAATAAAGTTGTTATAGTAGTTGTGTTCTGTTATCTTCTTATCGTTTACATGCACCAATAATGTGTCATGATGTACAATACCTTAATATTATCATTTGGTTTTAAATGAATATCATTGATGTATGGATCATAATATATGAATTCTAAGTTCATGGATTGACAATACAATGGTATGATGTTAGGTGAATACTAAAAGGTGTATACCACATTTGTTTCAAATGCTAACAAGAACACATACAAATATTTGCAAAACATGTACTCCTGGCACAAACAAATATTCCAACCATATGGCAAAAACATGTACTCCGTACATTACAACCAAATTACCATCATCAAAATGTCAAGTACACTAATTTTTAACAAAACCAAGTAGACAAAGAATACATCAAGTACATGAGACAATACTCTAATTTAATGGGGGCATCATCATTCCCAAAGAAAATTGATTTGAATGTTATTTTTTATCTAGTGACATAAGTTGGCCCTTTTTTAATGTCCAACTTTTTTAGTTTGAGTCTTGCATGTCCAGATTCACCTCTTGTGTTTTTGGAATATTTGGACTATACTTCTATACTGACCAAGTGAGTAGTTATGTGCTCACTCTCTTCTTCACTCTCTTCCTCACCCTCTTGGAGTCTTGGGGTTCTTTAGTGTATCGTGTGTGAGCATAGAAGTGTCCTCTATAGACACAACAATAGGAACCTCACTTTTAAATGATGATTCCATTGCACAATACATGTCGATATCAACCAGGTTATCATCATCAAACGCTTGGACAGTAGGAGCTCCCTCATCCCCAGGAACACATGTATCATCAATTCCAACACTGCTTTTTTCAGATTTTGCACTTCTTTTTCTCGGTTGCATCTGAGTACAGAAAATCACATACAAGTGAATGCACACTATGAATAACAAAAAGGTTAGTTTTGAAAAAGCAATAAATATTAGGAGTATACCAATTAGTCCTTGTTGTTTGGCTCATTCGAACATCTCTTTGCATTATGCCCTTCTTTCTAGCTTCAGTTAGAACAATGCAATTTGATATGTGTTCTTGCTACTCTCGCTCCATTTATGCTCCGACACTCCACTAACCCCGCTTCCATAGTGAGCCTGAATCCTCAGTGACTCTGGCACTCTAGTGATCTATCATCACTCATGACTCTCCAGTGGCTACTCCATCAATGACAGCCCAATAGTGATCATAAATCCCCAAGTGACATTTCACGGTCTTGTTGATCATAAACTCTGGTGACCACCGCCACCGGTGACTCCACCACTGCCCAAACCCACCATAGCCTCAACCACAACCCCAAACCTAACCTCTTGCCTTCCCTCACCAATATCTAACCCATTTCCAATGTCGCCTCAAACACTTACAAGAAACTGCCTGACAAACCCTAACCCCACCATTGACATCTGAATCGTCGCACCTCCACCACCACGAATCGAAACCCTAGCCCAATGAGCAATCGACTAGAAACCCTAGTCGTGCGCGTCACTGCCTACTGGCAAAGTTGTTATCAAATTATGGTCATCAACCTCCCCCCCCCCCCCCCCCCCCCCCGTTGCAACTCAACCATCACTAGGGATGTTTTTACTTAGACTATTTCCAGTCCCAGATCAGATCAGACCATACCTGACTTGGATAGTTATAAAATACATAAATACGGACATTTACAAGACCAAACCAAACCAGTTCAGACCAGACTAGAACAGACCAAACAAGATCAGAAAATTTCAGTCCAAGTAAAAACATCTCAGATCCTCAATTAATGTAACCTAGTCATTGTCAATAATTGTCATAGTTGTCACCACCTCCTATGATCCTATCGCTGGCGATGCCCACCTATCGCCATCACTCATCATCTGTAACAACCACCTCGGCCCGTCTGGCCGCAACGAGAAGGATGCTACCCTTGTTTATCTTTTAAGGAAAGGTAACCTTCTAACTTATTTAGAAATTATTTTAAAAATGTAAAAATTAACTACTTTTTTTTACTTTAATGAGAAATGTAGCAATTAACTAATATGAGAAATGTAAAAATTAACTACTTTTTTTTACTTTAATGAGAAATGTAGCAATTAACTAATATGAGAAATGTAAAAATTAACTACTTTTTTTAACTTTAATGAGCAATGTAGCAATTAACTAATATTAATATGAGAAATGTAACAATTAAGTACTTTAACTAATATTAATATGACAAATGAAACAATTAACTTTAACTACTTTAACTAATATTAATATGACAAATGAAACAATTAACTACTTTAACTAATATTAATATGACAAATGAATGTGTATAAGTCTATATAAAGTGTATAAGTATATATAGTATATATAATGTGTAAATATATTATAAGTAATATATAATATAATGTATAACTATATATAGTATATATAATATAATGTGTAAAGAATTATAATATGAATGTGTATAAGTATATATTTATAAGTAGATAATTAATATATAAGTTGATATAATAATTATATAAATTATATATATGTAGAAAGAATTTGGAGAAGATGAAGAATGAAGATGATTGAATATGAGAGATTGAGAGAATAAAGAATTTAGAGAGTAGGAAGAGTTGTAGAAGAAGAGGTGTAAAAAATGTATAGAAAATAGGAGTATAAATAGGTTTTTTTTTGTATACCCCACCCCCACCCCCCCTAACCCCCCAAACCCCCCCTCCTATGCTCCAACCGGCTGTAGAGCCGTTTGGGATCCCTCCCAATGGCTATAGAGCCGTTTGGGAGCCCTCCCAACGGCTATGGAGCCTTCTAGTATTTAATTTTTTTTTAAATGTGACCGTTGCGGCCCGGGCCGGTTCACTGAATGCAGGCCCGAGACCGAACCGCTTGAAGACCGGGCCGGGTGGCCCGAACCGGGCACCAACCAGTTCACCAGGCCGGTCCGGGCCCGCACAGTAGCGGGCCGGTCCGGTTCCGGGTCGGTTGGCCCGGCCCGAGTCCACCCCTACTCCTATCGCTGGCGATGCCCACCTACCGCCATCACTCATCACCTGTAACAACCACCTCGGCCCGTCTGGCCGCAACGAGAAGGATGCTACCCTTGTTTATCTTTTAGGCCCTGTTTGGTTGGAGGGGAGGAGAGGAAAGTGGAGGATTCTTGTGTATTTGGTTGAAGGAAATAGGGGGGAAGGGGAGGAAAGTGGAAGACTTTCAAAATCCTCCACTTCCTCCCATTCTAAACCCCCCAAATCGGGGTATTTCAGAGGAAACATGTTGATAACAACAAACTATCCATCTCTTACGTGAATGAACAAAATGTTATAATATAAAAAGGTAAAAAAACAAAAAGTTTTGAAAAATTAAAAAAATTAAAAATTTAAAAATTTAAAGATTAAAAAAATTAAAAATTAAAAAATTAAAAATTTTAAAAATTAAAAAATTTAAAAATTATAAATTACAATTTTTAAAAATTAAAAATAAAAAAAAAATTAAAAATAAAAAAAATAAAAATAAAATAAAAAATTAAAAATTCCAAACTGAAAAATGAAAAATTATAAAATTAAAAAAGTAAAAAATCAAATAAATTAAAGTTATGACTCATGATCATAGGAGTAATATTCACAATAGTTAGACATGTATCTATTTTTTTAAGTAAGCTATCAAATAAAAGTAAATTGCGAAAATATTTTCATTAAACCTTTCCTCCTATTTCCTCCAACCAAACACAAATTTTTATCAAAATCCTTCATTCCCTTCCATTCCCTTCCCTCCTTGACTCCCCCCTTCCCTACCCTCCTTTCAACCAAACAAGGCCTTAAGGAAAGGTAACCTTCTAACTTATTTAGAAATTATTTTAAAAGAGGATAGTGAATAATCTGATATATTTATTCAGTGATAGTCCGAACTCCAAAGGAACCGTAATCATCTAAATCTTGCAACACACGCCCGCCCTGGCATTGAATTTTTTAATGTGGAATAAAATCAAAAAGCTCCTTTTCGACGTTGCTTTTGCAGTATATGAATAGAGATTTGTTTAATTATGGATATTTGATAGTTTGCTCTTGAGAGAAACCAGTAAGGTTGTTGATTATTATGAGATTCTAAAGCCCAATTTCGGTACCGCAATACAACCTTAATTAGTTAAAAAAAAAAGGATGACACCCCATCCCTGAGGCCCCCAACCCCGACCGGACGGTACGTTGGGAGGATGTAAATTGGATTATAATCCCAATCTGACAGATAGAGAGTGAGGCTCTGTCCCGGTATTTGCACAAGCCCTATGCATTTTTTAGAACCGTAACCTCTCATCACAATTGCCGAGATTCGAACCCGGGACCTAATCCTTATGGCACTCCCTCACTAACAGTTGAGCTACGCCCACATGTAACCTTAATTAGTCATAGTGCGTGCATAGTGCATTTGATGATCAATACGGAAAAAGTAAACAAATAAGGTTACTAAGATGACCAAATAAAACGCAACTGTCTTGATAAAATTATAAAACCAACAACACTCTTTAAAGAGCTGATACAAGAACTTGTTAAGATGTGATTAGTAATAATCAAGTAAGATTGAGATTTGAGATGAGGCAGAACAAGCCCTCAACGATGGCTACTTTACTATATATATACGTGCATCATATTCACACATATATATGCACAATGAAAAGGCGCGCTATACACAGGAGGATAGCAAACTAAAACAATGAATGGTTGACCCCACTATCTCAGCCAACACAACCTAAACCAAAACTAACCTAACATTGCTGCAATGAAGAAAATGCTGCATTAACCTCCTCCTCTTCCTCTACCAATCTCCTCAACATCAGTTGCTCGTGGTTGTAGAAGTCCATAAACAAACCTCTCAACAACTTAGCCCGTCTATACTCTTCAGAACCGGGATGAACCAACATTAGTTCATCATCCAAATGACGGTCATCACCATTTTCCTACACAAGCAGATTTTTACAACCCTGAGAGGCAAAATAACAAATCATACTATTTCATTCAGAAGCTTACCTCAAATTGGCTTGGATGGCTCCCAATCAAAGTCTTGTTCATCCCAAGCCTTGTCACGCTTTCAACTAAAACCCATGGCCTGAAAAAAACAATTAAAACCAACAAAATGTTGAGGATCACGAGTGAGCTAAATATGACAATGTGTCAGAGAAATTACTTTTATCACTACAAAGAATAAAAGTCAACACACTGCTCGTTAAATGTAAACTCTCAAAACCACCTCACCGTCTCTCATGGATTGCTTCTGGTCCTGCTGAAAGTGAACGTGAGAACCTTTATTTATAAATGACAATGTTGATGGTAACAAAGTACTCGTGAATTTGGAATTGATTTTTTCACAAAAGCTATTGGAATAATAAATGAAATGAAATGCATAACACTAATCTTCAACATCAAGAGCATTACAGGAAGCCAATGGCAATCTCAAGAGTAAAAAACATGTACAACTGCCATCTACAAGACCAGAGTATAGGGCCAATTTCAAAAACGAGTCCATCTTGATATCTGGAAAATCTATATATATATTGTGTATAGTCTGTTTGGAACTTGGATGGAGAGGTTTGGAGGGGAAGCTTCACTTCAGACGCAGCTTCTGTTGATCACTGTTCAATCCAAGAGGGGGTGATTACATGGGATGTAGCACATCAAGGCTAACAGCTTCGTCTACATCTTGATATATATTTAAGATTTTATAAAAATTGGAAGATTTGACAAAATGTGTGATTAGGAACACGTATTTGTCAAGATATAGACTAACCCCTCCAAAACCTTCCCCATCCAAAACCCTCCCCATCAAACAGACCCTTAAGGTCAATCAACTAAAACCCATATTAAGATTAACGTGTTACAAATACAAAAAAGAAACCTATAGAGTATAAACTTAATGTACTGCCAGCATCGGGACAGTTGTTTCACATTGTCTTTGCTGCTGGGAGAGGAAGGCAATGAATAACACCCCGGATAAGTAGGTGTCAGTATATCTATCTAAAAAACTATAACAAATTTATAAAAAGAAGTCGTTTCAGAATGGCTTTTAAAAACAGGAAAAAGCTTCAAAGCATACCTTCCGCTCATGGACACTACGAATCGATCAGGATTGTCCAGGAATTGGCATAGCGTCCTATGCTTCATCTTGGTATCCACCAACAGAACAGCTCTTGCAAAGTGTGTTGAGTTGGGACTTAGCAAAATATACACTTGTGGTGAAACACATGTGTGTCTGCGTATGAACTTCTGTATCGATGATGGAGATAAGCTCCTCTCTAGATTACCAAGCAATATGAAATGGAAGTTCGATGTTTCTCCACCAAGATCTTTGTCTTGATCTTGAAGAGAAGAATCATGGTTGCTTGAGTTACCTGAACCTACTTAGAAGCAAAAAGAGAAGATAAAAGTCTTGTTTGAAAAGTTATTTTTTTCCAAAAAGGAGAATCATATCTGAACTAAACAAGCTAATTTTATAATAATTTTTCCGTGTGTTAAACAACCCAATACATTTACAAATATAACAAGAATTAACGCTATTGCTTTACAATAGTTGTATGGTTGTAACTTACTAACATCAAAATTAGTGAGAGATAGACATTTTTTTGGAGACATGGGTAGTAATAGTTTTGTAAACAAAGTTCAATGAGATCAAATTCGAGATTGGATTATAAAAAAACCTTTGCTTTCACTTCCATAAATTAATTTCCACTGACTCTGAATGTCCTGCAAAATGTAAAGACCATTGTTAATACTTACATCATGAGCCATAACTGCATGTATTTAAAAAATGACGACAGATTAAGCACGTCAAACTGGAAAAGCCCACCTGGAATGAAAGAATCTTCTGATCAGTGAGCAGCTGTCTCCATCCTCCTTTAGCAAGCACTACTCCAGCTGATGCTTCTTTCCGATAAATAGAAGTGTTCTTGCAAGATGAAACTGCAACTTTACTTTTTGCCAACCTTGAGAAAGAAGCGACTTTTGGATCGATCCGACCTTCATCGTTTACTGTGCATATGCTAGCTATACCAGCACTGGTTATTAGGCCTGTGTTTGGACCATGAAGCCAAGACAGCACAAAGGTGCACCGACATTCTTCTTCTTCTTCATTCGCACAATAATGTGCTTTACGGTCCACCTAACAAAATGGATTGTTTCTTCAAGTACATAATTATGCACACGTCATTTAACATTCAATTGACCCCCACCCCCCACCCTAATCCCCTCAAAAAACTGACCAAGCTGTTCCCTTAAGTGTGGGCTAATATGGACATAAATAGAGAGGGTTGGGTTTAAAATACAGGAAATTATAACCAGAAACTGTGAGTGGGATTTGCTTCTAGGCCAGAAAAAGAGTTTTTAAAGGAGGTTTGTTACTCCAATTAGCATTTGAGCTTATAGGTCTATAGAAGTCATGGTTTTATAGATCTGATACTGTTTTGCTTGTGTATTGCCATTGATCTATCACCTTCTCCAGATATTTGGGGGCCTTGGGGGAAACATGAAAGAAAAGCTGAAAACTTTGATGTTATATTTGAAACCCAAGCCCATGTTTGCATTAAGTATTTGCAAATTACATACATATCTTTTTTCTAACCAAAACCCTCCTCCTCCCTTCAGTCATGTACCATGATTTGCATGTCACTTTGCAATATGTTACTAGCAGCTTCAGTGCAAGATCTCAACATGGGCCTTCGGGTGAGTGTGATGATAAATTGAGATTTAGAAGGTTAGCCTATGCCTATGGTTGCTGTTTGGAGAGCTACTGGGAAGAATGGAAGTATGCAAATTTTTATAGCAATAGGTTGGAACTTTTTAATGAGAATTACACAAACTCCCTGGGACCTTGCTAAAAACTTGCATACCTTTTTATTATTATTCAACTGGCTTACTGGCCTTTAAGTAGGCTCCAAAGAGTCTGGAAAGAAAGCAATTTGGAGGTGACAATGAGAAAATAACATATAAGGTCTCCAAAGATTCTCAAATTCCTGATTATCATCCCTCAACATATAAGATCTCCAAAGATTTTCAAATCCTAACTTAATTTGTGTGATAGATCTCATTTATTGTTATTGAAGTGTAATGTGGTTACTTATTCTCTAACACAAGTATACAAATTAAATGAGTCTATACCAGAGAAACATTTCCTCCTACGTGCAACAGTGAAACAAATAAACTTGGTGATAAATGATCTGTGTAAATCAAATCATCGCATAATTAGTGCAATCATACACCATCATAATAGGTAAAAATGTGACCAACATCGATGGTAATACAGCCAAGTGAAGAGACAAAAGGCTTCAATGGACTACTCCAATTAACAAAGCTAATCGATCACAAATGGGTAGTAGCCTTCTGTTGGACAGTAAGGTGTCTCTATCCTTTTTGTTCAACTGTTTAGAGCAGAGTATTAACTGTTTTGTTCTCTAGTAGTGTAGACACGTAGTGGGTATTTAAATTCGGATCCACAGGACCAGAACTTATTGATCGCCTAGTTGTACTTTAACTAGGTTACTAAAACTTAATAGAACAGCAAATACCCTTTAGCAAAACAGTATGAGAATCTTGTTTTACATTACAACCATCATCTACCATGCCATAAAGAAGACAGTTTTTTAAACCAACACTTCATTCACAGGAAAGTAGTAATTCCATCAATGGCCTTTGAAAAACTTCGGCACTATTTTTGAAAACCTACCCAATTTTTGAAGAAGTGTGAATAACTCAGAGAATCAATTCGGTTTATGCTCGTCCGCTCAAGAACAAAGGTCATTCACCTTCAAAGACAACTTGTGGAGAAGTATAGAGATACTACAAGTCTACAAAGGGTATGCATTTGATGTTAATTGACTTAGAAAAGTAAAACGATAGGGTATCTCAAGAAGTCCTTTGGTGACCATAACTAGAAAAGACATATCACATAAATATATCAGTATCATCATGGATATGTATGAGGATTGTACTACAAGTGTCTTTACTCGTCTTTTCTTATTTGATATAGTGTGTCGAGATGCGCATGTTGTGCTGGATGTGTGGACTTTATACTAGAAAAGATCGCTTGAAAAATAAAACAATAAGAAAAAGGTGGGAGTCGACTGTTAAGATAAAAATGTATATACATTATTATGGGCCTTTAGAGGCCATACATATATTATTTCATGTATTATTATTGGTTCAATATCCTATGCCACATGGAGTGTTAGTATGTCACGTAGGTTCATTGCACTCATTTTTATATGCATGTGTCTTCTACTCTTCTCCCTTGTATGAATGAGAAGAATATACAGAATACCCATTTGCAATGGAGCCAAAGACTCGTTATTTTTTGGCTTTGGGAATATGATGGAATAAAGCAAAATGACTCATTAAACTGTTTGCGCTTCTTTGTTATGAAGCAACAGTCAGTCTATGTAATTTTCGACGCGATTTTCACTATGGGTCATCCGGAAACAGTCTCTCTGTGATTTAGTACTGGGGTAAGACTGCGTACTGGGGAAATGCTGATGATGACCCATTTGAATAACTTCTCCTCTCTCCATATATTTAGTTCTACATGGTATCGAGGCAACCTTTGTAAGAAAAATCTCCTTAAACATATACACGTGCATCTTTTTGTCTCTATAATGGCAAATCATAGTGATGACGTTTCCTCAATCACAAACTCAATAACTATGGACGTGTGCCGCAAGGTGAAGAATCCTTCTTCACTTTATTATCTTCTCAACTCCAACAATCCCGGTATAAATATTTGCGGTGTTACACTTCTTGGGGAGTCAAACTATCGTGAATGAGAAACTGCTATGAAGAATGTGTTTCGGGCAAAACGCAACCTTCAATTTTTGGTTGGCTTGATTTCCCAACCGACAACAAACAACAATGACCCTGAGGATTGGTATAGTGTTAATTCAATGTTAGTTGGATGGCTCAAGTCCTCCATAGACCCACCATTACGTTCCAACATAGCATATATGGATAGTGTCCATGACCTTTGGGACGATTTAAAGGTCTGGATTGATGTGGAAGATGCAATGCATGTGCATGAACTTAGGGAAGCTATCCGTAAATGTAGACAGGCACGCAAGTCTGCTACCATCTATTTTAGCTGCCTCTAAGTCACAATGGGATGACTAAACCCTCAATCAACTTGCTCAACAATGCAAGTGTAGTGGGTGTTCTTGCAATCTTCACCAAAAACTTATCCAAAATGTGGAGATTGAAAAGACTCATGACTTTCTTATCGGTCTTGATGGTGATGTTTATGGCACTCTTGGCTCCAATATCCTTAGCATGACAAACCCTTTTTGCTCAGACAAGGTTTATCAAATGGTCATTCAAGAAGAACGCCATCAAAATGTCACCCATGGTCAAGAAACCCGCACCAATGCAGTCGCATTTTCTATCCCGAAAAGAAAAATTATTGGATGCAAGAGTCTCGATTTCGGTGGTTTGGAGTCAACGAGTGATGCACTAGTTAGACGATGTGGAGAGAAGCGGAAGAAAGGAGAGGGAAAACAAGACCCTAAGAGACGTGAATTAGAGGAGTCAAGAATGATATGTTTCTTCTTGGATCGGATGAGATCATTACTTTGAGGAGAACAAAGTAGAGGGAAAATATTCGTATGAAGGATTGATCAATATTCATCTCTTTTATCCTTTTATCTTTTTCTTTTTTATTTCCATCATTTCCAATGGAGCCAAAGATTCACAATTTTTTGTTCCGAAGCAACAGTCAATCCATGCAATTTTTGATGCGATTTTCGTGATGAGTCATCCGGTCTTGAGTATAGGGGTAAGGTTGCGTATATCCGACCTCCTTACTCCACCGTAGGTGGGAGCCTTTGTGGCACTGAGGTAATGTTGTACTTGTTGTATCTTTTTATCTTCTTTATCTTTGTAATGGAGCCAAAGATTCACTATTTTTTGGCTTGGGAATATGATGAAATAAAACAAAATGTTTCACTAAACTGTTTGTGCTTCTTTGGTATGAAGCAACAGTAAGTTCATGTAATTTTCGACCCAAAGTTCACCATGGTCATTCGGGAACAGTCTCTATGTGCACTCTATCTTTGTTATATTGTTTATCCTTTTATCATTTTAACTTATACGAGTACTTTTTATCCTTTTTATCTTACTTCGTATCATTTTTATCTTTATCTTACTTTTTTTATCTTATCTTGTCTCCTCACCTTGTGGGAACGTCAATGTGCACCGGGTTGCCTTTTTTATTTATTATCATTTTTGTATTTAATATGTGAACTCATGTTAGCAGATCGCAAACTACTAAGGATGTTATTGTTGTTGTACCCAATTTTCTCATTAGATATTGGCAACTTTAAAGGGTCTGTCACCAATCCAAAAAAGAGTTCGGCCATCAAAAATAAAAAAAAATAATTTAATAAATGCAAAAAAAATAAACAAACAAGTAAATGAAGAAAATGGGGGCGATAAAACAGGGAGCACTGTAAAACCTACGATTTGGTATTATTCTAGCAAGTGGATGAAAAGACAATGAGAGAAAAAAGACGGAAGGGGATGTAGAGCGAGCAAGTGACTCACAGCTTCAACAATGGCATCGTAGTAGCGCATGTCGTCCCCGCGGAAAGCGTGACATGCAGCGCAAACAATGGAGCCTTTAGAGATTCTGCGGCATTCACTGTCCTGAAGCTGCTGCGAGACCACCCTAAACCTTCTGACGAACCGTTCGACGGCCTCCTGTGAATGGAACATTGAGGCAGCGAACTGGGCGGTTTCCAGAATGCCCCGGAACTCGATCAACAAAGTGTCGCCTTTTAGCTGCACTTTCACGGTGTACCAAGCGTCGTCGTCCTCCGCGCGGAACTCCAAATCCCGCTTCCCCATCAAAAGCCGACGGATGATCGAGACAGGAGGGAAGAACTTAAGCAGCGGATCAGTTTCAGGTAATGCCACACAGTCTTTGCTAGAAATGGACACGTTCCACCAATACTACAGTGTTTAGTCCAAACTAGTGTAAGTAGTGTAGTGACCGTGTATACGTACGAGAAAGAGCGGTTAGTGCATATATTTTTACTTATATACTAATTAAATATTAAAATAAAAATAACATTTTAGGATTCTACATTTTCGAAAAATAAGAGTTCAATAAGTTAATACCATAAAATATAAACTCATAGAGTATCTATTCAATGAATAGTATATTAGCAAAAATTAATCGACACCACTCATTAGAATTTGCTACTTATTGATTTTCATGATTAGGTTAATTTTAAAATTAAATTCTATTCTAAAAAGTGAGTACAATAAGTGAGAGACCTAAAGTTTAAGTGAATACAACAAATATTGAAATTAACAAATACTACGTATTAGTTAAATAATAACTTGCCATTCATTAGTAAAATAGTGCTAACATATGTGAGAGAAAATCACCCCTCTCAATTCTTAGCCGATTTATCTTGTTATACCTAAAACAACTACATATAAGGAAAAAAAATCTCACTCAAGTTTTAGTCAGATTATCTTATATCTAAAAGCACAATGTATGAGAGAGAATATTCTCCCGTTCAATTATTAGTCGGCTTATGTTATACCTAAAAACACTACATATGAAAGAATTTTTTTCACTCTCAACGGTTAATCGGATTATCTTATATACTTCATCCGTTCTTTAATTCTTGCAACGTTGTGACTTTTGCACTATTCACAAACCTTACTTTGACCACGGTTTTCTACTAATATACATAATCAAATTATTTCGTATAAAATGTTATTGAATTCCTATCAATGTGAATTTCCAAAATATCAACTTTTTATAATGTTTACTAATACATAATTAAATATAATTACAGTCAAAGTTGTGTGTTGGCAAACGCGAAAGTCAAAGTGTTGCAAGAATTAAAGAACGGGGGATAGTACTTAAGAAGAACTACATATGAGAGAGAAACTTCTCTCACTCAATTGTTAGCAAGTCTATCTTGTTAGCCTCTTATGCCTAAAAGCACTACATATGAGAAAGAAAATTATTCTGCTCAATTGTTTAGTCTTCTTATCTTATACTTAAAAGAACTACATATATGAGGGAGAAAGTTATTATGCTCAATTCTTAGCAAGCTCATCTTCTAATATCTAAAAGCACTACATTTGAGCAATAACCCCCCCCCCCCCCCCCCCCCCCCGCTAAACCCCCCCGCTCAATTGTTAGCAATATTATCTTATAATAATAATACCTAAAAACACTACACGTGAAAAAAATCCTTCCGTTCAATTATTAGCAAACTTATCTTCTTTTACCTAAAACTCTTACATATGAGAGAAAGTTCTCCAACTCAATTGTTAGACGTCTTACTTCATACCTAAAAGCACTACATATGAGAGAGAGAAAGTATTTCGTTCAACTGTTAGTCGAATTATCTTATACTCAAAAGAACTATATATGAGACATAAAGTTTTTTTACTCAATTGTTAGTAAGTTTATCTTCTAATAACTAAAAGTTGTACATTTGAGATACCCAAAAGCACTATATATGATAACAGAAAATTCTCTCTCTCTCAATTATTAGTTGAATTATGTTACACTTAAAAGCACTACTTATGAGAGAGAAATATATCTCGTTCAAGTGTTAGACGGCTTGTGCCTTAATCTTTCTTATATATAAAAGCACTACATATCATTTTCATTTTCATTTTCATTTACCCCAGTGCCGCAAAGGCTCCCACCTACGGTGGGTAGGGGAGGTCGGATGTACGCAGTCTTACCCCTGTACTAAAGCACAGAGAGACTGTTTCCGAATGACCCATAGTGAAAATCGTGTCCAAAATTGCATGGACTGATTGCTGCTCCATAACAAAGAAGCGCAGACAGTTTAGTGAGTCATTTTGCTTTATTCCATCATAATCTCAAGCCAAAAAAAAATGAATCTTTGACTTCATTGCAAATGATGGAAATATAAAAGCACTACATATGAGAGAACAAATTTTCCCTCTCAATCGTTAGATAGTTTATCTTACTATATATATACTAAAAAGAACTACATATGAGAGACAAAAATCTCATGCTCAATTGTTAGCAAGCTTATTTTCTTGGCTACTTATACCTAAATGCAATACAAATGAGAGATAAGATTATTCCGCTTAATTGTTAGTCAACTTATCTTATACTTAAAATAACCAATTATGAGAGAGAAAATTATCCCGCTCAATTGTTAGCCGACTTATTTTCTTATACCTAAAAGCACTACATATGAGAGAGAAATTGTGGTCGCTCAATTGTTAGCCGAATTATCTTATATTTAAAAGCATTACATATGAGAGAGAAAATTATTTTGCTCAATTGTTAGCCGACTTATCTTCTTATACCTAAAAACACTACATATGAGAGAAAAATTATCCCACATCCTCCACAAATGTGTAATGATTCACCTATTAACAATTTTATTTCACTGTCTTCTACATCTTCATTACTTAATTACATAATTCCATTTTAATTAACTTTTGCACCATTAGATTGTTAGTTCTTTGAGTGTTTTTCTTCATACGGAGTATATCTTTTCAATTGCAAGAACTTCTAGTATGCTGATTTATTATTATGAATAGTGTGAACTTTTGGTTCGTAAGTTTATTTTCATTTGACTTCTTATTCGAGTTGATAATCTACTCTAGTACTTCTTTCATGCTCCATTGACTTGTGAATAAATAAATTTTGTGCAATACTCATATCATTTCATCATTTATTGGTAATTCAACTTTGATTCTCTCTCACCCAAAATTATGATACTATGGACATGATTTAAAAAATCACTTGGAGTCACTTACATAGTTGATAATATTTAATGATCTTTCCATGAATAATATTTGATCAATAGAGGATGCTCATAAGTCTATCTCGTTTGTATGTACATAGTTAGAAGTCCAAAATAGTAACTAAATTCAAGTATATTTATATTTTTGAGTCACTTACATATTATAAAGATATTATTCATGAATCAACTGAAACTCTTCTCGTAAGTCTATCTTATTATGTTTACTTTTAAAGGTGATTTGATTCACCGGTAATAATAATAATAATAATAACAACAACAACCATAGAAACAACAACAGAGTGAAAACGTGAGGTTGTGGTTGAGTAGAAAAGGGTAAATAAATCCTAGCCAGTTGCTACATTAGGAATCATTTGAATCATTTGAATCTCTTTTGCATGTACAGAATTGGAAGTCCACAATAATAAACAAATTCAAGTATATTTATATTTTTGAATCACGTACATATTACTATTATAAAGATATTATTTCAACATGTTGATTTTCAATGAAATGTAATTTTTTAAGATTCTCATTTTTTTAATATTAAAAAGTCACTTTTTAAAAAGTCCCTTTGTATTAGCCACTGATGTATTGTTACTTTCATGTTCGAATATTGATATTTAGAGTCAGTTTATTATCACTGAATTCACTAAATCGCCCGATTCCTTAGAAATTAATGAAAATTTGACAAAAGTGGCTGAATTGGTTGAAATTGATATTTTTATTTATGGATGAATTGAATTTAAATTATATTTTATTAATGAAGTAAATAAAAAATAAAAATGAAAAGTAGTTAAAAATGATTTTATACAATAACGTCAGTCGAATTAGTCAAAAAAATAATTTCAATAAAGCTAAACATAAATAGATCAAAGCAATTTAAAACAAACCAAAAATGATAGATCTATATTTTCATATTTGCCCCTCTTTTCTTAAAAATAAAGAATAATAAATTGAACTAAATTTAGAAGTTTTATTTTATTAGAACACGATGTGATTATCATTTTCATTCGCTAATTTTTTTATTCTCGAGTGACATTATAATAGGAAGGGATAAGGTTTGCAATAGTTAAACGAAGGGAGTAGAATAAAACATGAAAATAACATTAGATTTTTACTAATCGTAGGGTTGATGAATTCAAATTACTCATCGTCTTCAATTTAGACCAACTTGAAGTTTTTTATTAGAACTACTTAGGGCTCGTTCGGTATAGTTTTGAGTTTTCTATTTTTGGTTTTTAAAAAACAAAAAACTGTTTTTAGTTGTCTATTCTCAATTTTTTGAAATCGTTTTGTTTTAGTGCTAATTCATTTTCAATTTTGTCATTCCATGTGGTGGGCCGGTGGTGGTCCAGTGGTGGCCAGTGGTGGTCCGGTGGTGGTCCGGTGGTGGGTGGTGGTGGTCCGGTGGTGGCCGGTGATGGTCCGATGGTGGTCCGATGGTGGCCGGTTGTGTCCTGGTAGTTGGGTATTGAAGATAAATGATAACAAATTTATAGAAACTATGTTTTGTTGATTTCAGAATTATGTTTTCGTTTTCTAAAAACACTTGCAAAGATTATGATTTTGGAAACAAAAACAACTTTTCACCAAACGTGTTTCTGTTTTTTTTCTAAGAAAAAAAAACAGAAACCGAAAAACTGAAACGTTACCGAACGCACCCTTAGATTTTCGTTTGCGGATTTTTTATAATCAAACCAATGCATATCAAATTATAAAACACTTTAAGAAAGTTTTCATAAATAAATTTAGTATTTTTAGATTTTTCCTTTCATGGTCTGATTTTGATTTTAGAGACGTTTAGAAG